AAAACAAGTTCCATTCGTAAAAAAAGGGAAACCGACTAATTAAAATGCTGGTGCTTGCTTTTTGCTTTTGTTTTATAATTTTGTACAAGCTGAGCAAGTTTTGTGGGACCGTAAAGCTGCTGAAAACTTTGTCTCCTTGCTTAAACAAAGTGAGCAAAAATTTCACTACATTTTTGATTGCCCCAAAAAGTATGCTAGCCTCGGGTTTGACTTCTCTGCAAAGCTCAAAGCAGCCAAAAAAAAAAAGGGCTTAACTGGGCTATAATTAAAGGTCGACCCTTTAGTGCTGACGTTCTTTTAACACCATTTCTTTTTGCTTCTACAGCGTATGTGTTTTAGATGCTCCAGAGGGCCATTAAAAGGCGCTCAAGTGTGGAGAGAGATATATGTATGTGTGTGTATATGAAAAGGATTGTTCAACTTTTTGTACCCCCCAAAAATTGTTCAACTTTGCTCAAATGATTAGACGGCTTTCTTGCCTACAAATGTCCCGGCACTCGCATAAAATTGTTTCGTGCTTTGACTATATGAAAGTTAAATGATGTCTTCATGTCGTTTCGTTGCTCTAATGCGCTCAAGCATTATGTGAAAATTTGTTGTGATGTGTTAAGGGCGGAATAAATAATTTCTACTATTTGTTTTGGTATACACATTTTACTTTATTTTTTCAGTTTATCTCTGAATTTATATCTAGAAAAATTAAGGAAAATATTTGTATTTATTTTGGATGTTCGTTAGTCCCTCGTTCATTTGTCTACTTTTGTTTGCTTACCACAGATTCAATAATAAATATTCTATTCGTGTAAATTTATTGATTTATATTATTATACATTTTTTATAATGTCAGGGGAGTGCTGGTATTAAGTTACATTTACCTGGCAGCTACATGTAAAATAATACTTAGTAATTATTATTTTTTTTAGGATTAAAAATTTTCCCTGAATTTTTGGTTGAGCTATCCTGTAACATACGAAAAGTATTTTGAATTGATATGTTGTTCATGTTATTATGTGTGGCTGTCAGATATGTTTTCTTTTACACGAACATTTAAATTTGCAGGAATTTCATTTTATTTCATTTCAACTTTCTTTTGATTAGATCGAACACTTTGTGTGCCAGTTGGGAAATATTCGTTCGCGAGCTGAAACAGAAAACCAATTAAAAATTTTTAATTGCATGCGAAATTATTGCATGTCCAAGCGTTTCAATTGACTAATGTGAATTGTATTTGCTCTTCTCGTTCCAGTGTAGAAAAATGTAAAAAGTCGACTTAAACATAATATTTGTTTGCCTGCAAATTCTTTTTCGATTTTAAGTTTAAAAAAAAACGAAACGGAAATATTTTAGAAACGAACACAAATGCTAATTCAATTCAACGGCTTATAGATCGCTATATAGTAGGAAACAATCGCAACGCGATAACATAACATATCATAATAAAAAAAAAACGTAACGAACGTAAGTTTAGGAATAGAGCTAATTTCGGGTGCGTATAACTCCATTAGAAGACGATTAGCATAGCAAACTAGTTAATGTAGAGTGACAGCAGGAAGCAGAAAAAAAAGCACTAATTCAATCAGACCCATCTGAAAAGCCAACAAATAAAAATAAACTCAAAAAAAACTCAGTCCAAGCGAGAGTGACAGCCGTGACACGGAACCAAACAGAATCGTTCCGCTGCTGGGGCTACCACCCGCTCAACTAAAGTAAAGGACACGGCGGTCCAAACGCAAACTAACTAGAAAACTTTGTCAAACACTCGAGTAAAGCAGCAGCAAACGTGCGCGTGTGAAAGTTTATCTCGTTCTACAATTTGTGCTGATCCCAGAACTCAAACACAGATACGGGGGGAAAAAAAAGAGACGCTCAGACGGTCAGAAAGAGCAAGTGCTTTAATTTGAACACGTTCACAGCAAAAGAAGAAGCGCCGTAAGGTACGAAAACCAGCTGCAAGATGTCCTCCTCCATGCCACTGACCATGGACCAGCGACGCTTGAATTGGCCAACATTTCTGCTCTCGCTGCTACTGCTCCAAGCGACTGCGAATGCCATCGACTTGAGTCGCCTGTACGGGCACATGGCCAACCCCATACAGAAGCGTAGCGGTAAGCGCACTCATTTTTATTACATTTGTATGCACTATGCAAATAATTGCGTAATTAAGTATTGCAGCAGAAGTAAGCAAGGTCGCTTTTTGCTTCAAATTGAATTTTAATTTCGTACTTTTCCGGTTATCTGCATATAATACTTATATACATGACTTGACTATGTGAATTTATTGATTATTATTACTCTCGAAGAGAGTAAGGCATAAACACGCAGAGCATGAGCAGGACGTTTGTATAAGTATTTCAAGATCCTGTAAGCCCTATTATTATCAGCTGTTGTATATGAATCAACTTCAGCTAGATACCCTAAAGGCCTGCAGCCAATCTTAACTTTCTCTCTTCATCCTGATTTCATTTAAAATTCAAAGGTATTTAAATTTGTTTACAGTTGCTTTACAAATTAGAAATATTATACTACGAGTATATAGATATTTTTCTCTGTATGTACATACATATATGTATATATTCTGTATCATTAAGTAGCAGTAGTTACATACTTCTCCCGCCAATTCAATGGCTTGTATATATAAATCAATACTTCTTCTGCTCATATCTTTTTCTATTGTAACTGAAGCAGTTGCAGCTCATACAAAAGCCATAACAAAAACATTTCATGTCTAGCAAACAGTGGGCAATAATTGAACGTTTGTTGAGAAAAAGGTATCGAAGCCTAAACAAATATGTCATTGTGTTTATTGAAGACAAAACTAACCTTGAATAACAAACGCTGCTCTCAGTCAAATTGTGAGTTTTGGGTTGCTTAGCATCCAATATTATTGACACCTTTTTTCACGAGTTCTCTGAGCAAAAGCTAGGGTATGCTCAAAGTCTTTTGTATTATTCAACCTAGCCTTTCTCGACTTTTGCTTAGCCGAGTGTGCAAATGGATTTGCATTTGCGTGCTCAGTTTGCAATTACACAAGAATTTGCTGAGTTTTTCTACTGAAATGTTTATTTGCCTCGATTAAAATTCTTCGTGAATTTTTTTTTTTTTTTTTTTTTTTTTTTTTTTTTTAATTACCCTCGTTAAGTAGTGTTCGTGTTCTTGGCTTGGAATTTACCCATATTTTCTTCATATATGAGCAGATTTTTATTATATAATTAAATTAACACCAGCCGGTCGGGCAATTTGAGGCAGGCAGGCAACGGCGCAAAGCCAGATCCATTATATATGTATACATAGAACATGGCTTTAAAGACTTTATCATTGTTGAATCGCAGCCCAGTTTCAATGAAATTGTATTAAAAATATATATTCTTGCTTAATTAACTGTATGTTAAACTTTTTTCATTATCATCGAGTTAATCAGCAGCAGATGTTCCGTCATGTGTTATTCATTATTTCTTTTCCAAGTAATTGTATCATTTTTATACTCATTCGCAAAAGAAAAAAGATTTTTATTTTTCTGTAAATGTCAAATTAAAGGTTAAATGTTGAATGGCATCAGCTGCAATGGCATCAACAGCTGCAATTGCACAGAAGCATTCAATTGATGTTGTTGTTGTTGTTGCAGTTGCATTCAATATATTTTTCGCATTTCCGTTATGTCAGTTGCAGTTCACATAGTTGATATTATTGTTAATATATTGAAAATATCATATATACCCTTATTGCAGTTGAGGAATATCTGCACTTTCAAGCTGTTTATATCGACATATGTTTGGTTGATTATATTATCATGATATTATCATGTTATTATCATATAATTATGCTGATGCCGATTAGGAATATATTTTATGTGATTGAGAATACCTTCTTCTGCCTCATTCATAACAGCACATTTCACTCCGATTTTCCAATTTCCCTAAAGAAGCATAATTTGCAAAATATGTATTTTATTTTATTTTATTTATTTATTTATTTAT